ACGAGCACTTAATGAAACAGCACTTAAAACTGCATTTGAAGCTGTTTTAAAACCCGTTGGCGGTAACCGGGATTCGGACTTAGGTTGCTCGAGTATACTGAATTAAAAGTGAGTGCCCGAGCTGTATTGGCTTTACTAAGTACTGTTAATTATTAATATTACAAAAACTATACCTATATAATGTTGCAGTACGACATCAGGAGTTCTATAATGTTGCAAATTATATTGAGTGCTATAATGTATGAAGTTAATAATGGGAAATGACTAAGCCATAAATAGTCCACACCCCTGGCTCCATCGCAGTAAAACAAAGTTGTCGCTTGTAACATGTTACGAAAGCGGTTTACCTTCAACTTTGCCTAACAATTATTCTGTATGAGATTTTGCACAAATTGTACACATGCGAACACTCGGGCTCGAAGTGTGTGAGCGAAACCGCATGTCGCGACCGATACGGCAAAAAACCACCGTCATAAGAACTAAGGAGAGATCCCAAAACGAACTCACATTTCGCAATGCTCCAGACTGCTCATAACTGTCACTGTATCAAGAACTGCGCTAGCAAACCGGCTCGCATCACCACAGAACTAAACACTCCGTTTCGTGCACACACGTTTTATAGCCCCAATGTGCCGATACGTTATCGAGGAGCGATAAACGCAGCAGACGAGCGCCGCGGCCGAGGAGGAAGCTAAGCCCTTCCATAAAGCTCCGATAGGCGAGTGATTAGACAAAGTGAAGTCTACACTATTGGGGACTTTACGCGAACGGCTATTGTGTAATTTACGACTAGGATTAACTGCGAAGGTTGTCGTTGCGAATAGATTGTGTATTATTTAAACAAACGGAGCATACGGTTTGATTATCTGTGTTGTGTATTATTGAAAAGAAGGAATAGGAGGAATGGATTACAAAGCTAATGACAGTCGATGCAGGACTTCATACGGACTTCTTCTTTGTAATGCCGCTTCCGTATATTAACGCCAATATTTAGCAACCAAACGGTGAAATGCTTCACTTACATACAGATAACAAGTCCATTTTTTTATTAACGAAAAACAAAACCAACTTCAGAATCTCGCTCTGTATTCATTTTATAATTGATTTTCAAGAGTTCCCTGAAATGCCTGCGGAGCCCAAGATCCAATACCAATTAAATTAATACGGGACCACATCGCAGCTAAACCAAACCCAATACAAAAAGAAATTTTAAAATCGGTTCATAAATGATGTAGTTCTGAGGTGACAGATATAATTCAGCTTTTCAGTTTTTAAAAAAAAAACATTGCCCTTACTTTGGGATAACATTATCCTGTGTTGTAAGGACGTTTTTACAAACATAAATTTCACGTGGACAAACACCCAGATGCGGAACAACTAACTGTGGGCCACACAAATAGTTGTCCCGAGTGGGAATCGAACCCACGACCCCCGACGCTGAAGCCAATACCTATGTTAATACATGTTAATACATAGGTATTGGCTACCGTGGTAAAACATGTTGTTCTAATGAACAGCATGTTTTGCCACGGTTACATATAGAATGCAAAAGTTGTTCATGAATCATAATAACATCCATAATGCTATAAAATTTGTTATCCATCAGCCATTCATAAATATTGTTTTAAATTATCTAGAAGTCGGTAATTTGAGTTTTTGGTATCTTATTGTGTAAGTGTACACAGATAAACAGCTTTTATTATATTCTGCAACTCTAGGGCTGATCAGTGCAAGTTAATAGGATCTCTTCGAAGAGCATCGAAATATTTCTCTTTTGTAATAAATTAATGTAAACAAATATTTCGGGACATATTTTGGCACAACGTTAATTAGCCTCAAACTAAGCAAATTTTGTACTATGGATAGCGTGGGTACTAGTTTACTGATATACATACTATTATAAAAAATAAAACACTATAGATCAACTATGGGGATCGAACCCACACCCTCTGGCGCATGAGACCGTGTTATCAACTACGCTAATGGGGTGATTCTTAACATTTTGTAAACCGTTTGAAGTATTTGTCTCGTAATCGAACTAACAAATAAACTTAACTGAAGGCCTTCGCTCGCAGCGCATGTGGCTAGTTATGTTACAAAGTACAAGGTTAACTTGTTCGACCGATAGCTGAGAAGTATTCCTTCTGAACCGCATCGCGGGAGATAAGATATATTTCATTTTAACGAAGTAAGAAAGGAGACGCGTAGTAATAATTTTCGAAGATTCCATTACTCATGATAGAATCGATGCAATGAATACGATACGAGTGGATGACCATCCTAATGTCTTATAGTCATGTTGGACTATATGCATAGACTCAGCCATGTAGTTGTAGGCGTGATTAAAAATGGATGTTTGGTTCACAACTTTGGTTGGCAATGCACATTGGTCCTGTATTCCTGAAGGAGTGACGAGGGACACAGTGTGATTATTATCCTCGCTTACCACCTTCTCCGATAAAAAAAACGTTCTTTTCAAGGTACATATACGGAAGAGGAGACAAAACGTCTAATTCAAAAGCATTAAACAATCTTTGGAAAGGAGTGCATCTAAGTTGGACAAGCAAGTTAAATTTAATTATGTTATTTGTAAGAGAATCATGCAGGCAAAGCTGGGGGCAAAAGCCAGTGCTATAATTGACGGAATGAGTCGCGTAGTCGCGTAGACGTGCGGGCCAAAGCGTTTGGAGATGTTTTCCAGGGCAGAATCGATTAAACCCACATGATATTTTTTAAACAATTAATTAAAATTATTCGGCCGACTAATTAAAGGAACACGTCAACAAAATTAGAGACAGACAATATGTCATTTCTTCTAAAAGAGCTGAACAACAACTTTGGGATTTTTTTTAAAGATACGGATGGCAAAAAACCACTTTGATTTTAAAAGTGTGGGTGCTTATGGAATATTTAAAATACGAATGTCAAGCGATCAAGAAATTTAATGGTAAGTGATTTAGAAAGTGTGAGCATCCCACTCACGGGGCGAGACATAAAATTATGATTACTTCTCTACTTTGTATGCCTTCTGCGTCATAGACATTCAAATTAAATGTTCAACTTGACGATATACTAAGAATTTTATAAGATAAGGAATTTACGTTTACAAGGAAAAAAGTAATAAATTAACAATTGGACAATGGCTAAAATTAATATACAATGCAGAAAATTGCAATCGAGTAAATAATAATGAATGACGATGTTAAAACAATAAAAACTCCGCGACTTTACAGGGGATTTACAGATAGTTTATCTGATTATTATCAGTTGCATATGTTTTGTACTCAAAACTCAAAATGTAAGCAATTGAAAAGACGTTTTTAGAAGCTACACATTATTTATATTATAAGCTAGTGTTAGCTATACTTTGTTTTATCGAGCTAAGAAGGTAGAAATATAAATACTTTTACCAAATCACCGTAGTTTCACTTTGCACAACAATAACACTGGTATAATTACTTATTTTATCACTTTAATATCACTAATGAAACACCACTCTAACTATTTAATTTATGATACCGATTGGGCAGCACTATCGTGTATACTTCTGGTTTGACAGCCAAAGAAGACGACGACCACGATGAAGGCGACCATGAAATGCTTCATGCAGCTACATTTATACCTCAAAGAATGACACTTCTTTTAGTGTTGCCAACAACTTCAAGGAACGACTTCCTTTAGAGTTGCCAACACTAGTTTTACTTATATATTTTTTGGATTCAGAAACTGATCTTCGAAATTAAGTAAACGCAAAACATAAATAACCTCTTTTTCCACCCAACGGGAGTAGACGAGATTAAACAATCCAGAAATGCTTGCATAGATTCAGTATAAATAACTAGTGCCGTCACCATCTCCGGCGGGTAGATTGATATCGACTACTGAGGCAGTCACTCCATGATACAAAAACGACATTTTTGTTGTATTATCTGTATTGTTCGAATTGAATTGTACGAAACGCATCGCCGTTTCCGAGAAGGGACACCTGAGCGTCCACCGTCGCTTGGACCGGGTTCCTTCGCTAATCGGCCGAGCAGCCGGCTCAGCTCATTCTGGTCACTGAGGCGGCGGACTGCACACGGGTTAATCCGCAAACCGCGCGTCATCACCGTCACCAATCAATCCTCATGCTAAACACGTGCTCGACCGGCCTTATCTCTTACGTAACCGCTTGCGTTTTTCGAGTCTTTTTGGTGGAGTTATATAATATGATATAAGGCCTGAAAGAGACCGGCCAGCTTTCATTATATATATTACAAATCTGTTATTACCGGTTTAAATTAAGACCGGTGGTCAAATAATAAACAAAAAATTTGCAAAAAAAAAAATGCAATAAATATAAGCGACTATTAATTCACATAAAAACTATCACATCTCTCTAGTTGGATCAAAATGCACACAGTGTGCAAAATTTGATTACAATCGGTTCAGTAGTTTAGAAATTTATCGCGGACAAAGTGACATGAAATTTGTATATATATAAAGATATAGCATAATATTGATTATAGATTTTTTTGTTAACCTTAATGTAACGAATTTAAACGTGTCAATTTGCCCGTTACACAAATTTAACTGAATTTGGAATAGAGGATAAGTGACGCCAGTGTATACCAGCATACATAATACCATATATTTACTTCCCAATTATATTGTTTTCACAATAATCTATATTATATATTATGAAATGTAAGAGTTTTATAGAAACCTTAATTACTCACTATATACATACATTATCTATTTGCTTTTGAAGAGTTCTTTCATGAATCTCCGTAGTCCAAGGTCCAAAATGAAACTAATATTCTACATGTTAGCTATACCGAAAGCGAATGCAAAATAATTTTTAAAACCGTTTCATAAACGACGGAGGTATGAGGTGACAAACATAAAAGCAAAGTCCCACCGAACCGAGAATCTCACTCAAAAGGATAATAAAATGGCGGATCTTAGTAAATACGGTTTCATTTTTACTGCCGATAATAATTTAATTATTTAGTACTCACGTCTCATTCTCGTCTATAAACATCTCTGGAGACCTGTGAACAAAACATGCTTCAATTAATCCAATATCATCGCAACATTATTATTATTAAGTAAAGTTTATGATGCTATATCATAAACTTTACGTATGTTTATTAGGTCTGCCAGTTGTCGTTACATTAAAAACAATATTATGTGAAACATGAATTTATGTTACAGCTTAAGTGCACCTAATTAAGAGGCAAACACAGCATGCTTAATATTAAAAAATAAAAGTAAATAGAAAAATATGAACTAAATATTTTTAGGCTCATGTATAAGATACGCTCAGATATAATAAATAAAATAAAATAAAAAACAAATTATAATATTTCTAAGGCAAAGAGAAAAAAAGAGTAAAATCTATGAAAGAAAATTAAGTTATGTGGTCTATGGTATGGTAAATGTGAACACCAAACAAAATGAAAATATATATGCATTATAATATACTAGCGGACCGGACAGACGTCCTGTACACACGACTTAATTACGACAACTTAAAAAAATTGTGAATCTAAACCATACTAGAATCGACCTGAAGACGCACAAAAATATATCATCAAAATCGGTCCAGCCTTTAGGAGTTCAGTGACATACACACGTACAGAAGAATTGTAATATATATATATAAAGATTTTAAGAGCTATTCGTTAAATGTATCCTTCATATCATTGTACTTATAATCTTTATTGTGTCATTAACAATAACTGTTGGCGCAGTTGCCACTTTATTGGCTTCGGCGCCGGGGGTCGGGTGTTTGATTCTCATACGGGAAAACTATTTGTGTGACCTACACATAAATGTTTCAGATCTGAGCGTTTGTCCACGTGATATTTATGTATGTAAAATGTCGTTACAACACAAGATAATGTCATCCTACAGTTTTCGAATGGAAGACTACAATAGATCTAAGTCGCAACGCTTTCCACACAAAAAATACCGCGATGATAAATATTAGATACGGTGGTAGGGCCACGCAGCAGCCTCACAGAAGACCGGCGTAAAGTGGAAGTATAATACTTCGCGTTTCGTCTGGTGAGTGTGGTGGCCGGAGCCCAATTTCCAAAATATTGTCAACACTCGCGGGTTCCAGATACCCGCGAGTGTAGCAGTTGTGATGCGGTATTCACTTTACATCAGGTGAACCGTCAGCTCGTTTGGCAAATTTTCACATAAAAAATAATCCAATAAAGGTAATAATAAATATTTCGACGATATGCAGTGCCGGATTAGGTAAGCGCGGGACCCGTGGCAAATTCTTTCAAACAGCCATTGATCTGCTATTGGTTCTTAAGAACAAATTGGTAAGAAAACAATTCAATATTCTTGCTTATTTAATAAGTTTCACTCAAATAATTAAAGCTCAGGCAGAGAGTACAGTGGCTTTAAACATGCAGGGCCCACTTTGGCGCGGGGCCCGTAGTAATTGCTACTCTTGCTACGTGGTTAATCCGGCACTAAGATACGAGAAGTCCGCCGGTTGTGGGCGCAGAGAATCTATGTTGGGTTCGCGTGGTGGGCTGTGGCTTTATAAATGTGTTCTGACATACTTTTGCCCCACAGTGTAACATGTATAGGTTGTTACTTTCTTCTTCGGTTTTTACGTGATTGCGGCGAGAAAATTGCGATGCCCTCGAAATGAATAAATATAAAATTAATCACACCGAACACGATAACACAATAAAATCCACAAAAAACGCGATAACGGTATCGACGAAAGCCTGCCGCCTAGGTAACGAGATTAAAATAAACACGAGCGATCGCAATGTCACTGGAGAAGTTAACAGAATGTTCCCGCTCTAATCAATGACCGATACCGTTTATTCGGCAATAAAACAATTACGCATACCGCCGCATGCAAATATATGTCTTAAGTAGGATGCATAAATTCCAATATGCTATTAGCAATATATAAAGCATACGTATCGATCAAATATTACGTGCAATTATAGACCTTATCGCATCGACGTAAGGTGCAAGCCAAACGGTGCATCGGGTCACCCGCTGACACAGATAATCGACACGCGCTTCTAGTGTGGGTTTACCGCGCAGATTATAAAATGGCTCGACGACCGCCTGCTTAATAGTGTGACCTACTCGGGATTTTGTGTGCTATAACTATCCAACAGATACGCAGCGACGCGGCGGAAGATTTGGTTTTTACGATCATTAATGCTTTAGAAATATACCAATTCTCTTACATAATGCTTTAGAAATATACCAATTCTCTTAAAGCAGATTCTTAATATTTGAGCATCTAAAATCTAAACCTTAGTTTTGGACCTATCGGAGGTCGTTGCGTCAGTTCGTGTGCGAGTCGGTTCGTGTTCGCGACCTAAATCGCTTCTAATGAAGGACCTCATATAGGTCGGATACCAGTCGGTAAAAGTAAAGTATAGTAACAACCTGTACATGTCCCGCTGCTGGGTAAAGCCCTCCTCTGTACAGAGGGTATCGGGGCATAGTCCACCACGCGACCGGACTGCAGATTGGCTGACTTCAAATATTTTCGGAATATTTTTTTGTTATTATTTCGAAATGTAGGTTTCCTCGCGATGCGATCCTTCGCAGCTGAGCACGTGAAAAGTCAGCGCTTAAAATAAACAATTTCAATGGTGCCGGCACCGGGGATCGAACTAAGGTTGCTCGAGTATATTGAATTATAAGCGAGCGCCCGGACCATGAGGCATAAACTAGTCGGTACATAAACTGATTGTGCGGGAATTCAGCGGTTTTGTTATTTTGTTTAATTTAAGCTTCATCTTGACGTTTAAGAGACGATGGCTCTGCGCCCGCCGACATCCGTGCATGGCACACAGCTGTTATATAACCATATATTTTAATCGTTTGATCGAATTTGCATAATCAATGCAAGCTTAAAATATACCATCAGTCAATGTCATCTGTATAATACCTTAAAACCCCCCGATCGAATAATCCGGAAAACCATCGGCTTAGCGTTATCGGAATGCATTGATAAGTTTCGCTTATCGAGTTGCATAGATTGCTAAATTAGATAGGTAGCGTGCAATGGGTCGAAGTTGAATTCGATTCGTTGGCCGAATCGATTACGCACACTGATGCCATAGTAACACGAACACTCAAACATTTTAAGATTAAAGGTATCAGCAGATATACTAATTCCAGCTTTATCGATTATGTTGTTTGCGTCAAGTCCAACGCGGCGTTTCGTGGCCCCCTGCCACGGTAAACGTGGTGCATGCTAATGAATGATTTGAAACCAAGCAACTAGATCTAATCGATTATTTATTAATAGATCGGAAAGAGTTTGGAGCTGATTGAAGTCTTATAAACGTTTTTCACAGAGACATTCGTGGTTTTCGATTCAAAAGGTTATGAGTGCGAATAGGTTTTTTCTACGAGCGCTATCTTTGATGTTTCAGTATAGGTTGTTGTGTCTCGTTATATTTTTTTTTCTGATAAAGTACCAATTCACGAAATATACATATTTAAGCTGACGCGGCAAACGTAGTTTTGCCATATAAATTGTTTGTAGGGTAGAAAAAAATAAATAGTAATAAACCTATTCTCATACCTACTGAATATACAAATAAAATTTCATCAAAATTTGTTAAGCCGTTTCGGAGAAGTAAAAACATTAAAACTGTGACACAAGAATTTTATATATTAGATAAATTATATAAACTTAAAGGCCAGACCAACATCTATAAATTCATACAAATTTAACACATAAACACATCGCGACCCCGTTGAAAACTTGTTCCTTTTACGAGCACTTATTGTTCTATTGCATAGTCATATCATTGTTATGCAATCATAATAGTTACGATTCTGCAAAATACACTCAATACATTTATCAAGGTCTTAGTGACATTTAAATTAGCCGTAACATATCCAACGTAATATGCTCATCATCACCTTGACATGATCTGTGAGGTCGGTAAGTATGTATATATATTCTTTTTCAAACAGTATGTGATACGCCGAAAACATAGATTAAACATGATGTAAAGGAATTGCGGAAATGTGGCATAGGCCCGCCCCCCAGCCAGCGCTCTGTGCTGCAGTGCCCGCTTAGGCTGTGGCGGGCCTATGCGCCTAAGCCTAAGCGGGCCTAAGCGGGCACGATAATAAAGGGCGCGGGAATAAAGCTCTGCGACAGGAAAATACGTGATCTCGCTCAGACCAGACAGAAAAATGACCATAGTAATTGTGATTGCTATAATTATAAATCTACGATCGCATTGCCAAATGACGGTTGATAAAAAAATAGTAATTGTGATTGCTATAATTATAAATCTACGATCGCAATGCTAGTGTGTTGGACTACACCCTAATACCCTTTTTATACAGCAGACCTTTGTTCTGGACAAAGTGAGACTTGAAGAGGCTGTTACATTACTTTTACTAAACGCGATATGTGACGCTCAATACTAAGGAACATTCGTACCATCATCAAATATATACGCGTTCCGTTATACATAGATTTCACTAAGCAAGTGTCCTCTTTCCGTTTATTCAATGTCATCACAAGGTAGCCTAAGTGCTAGCAAGTTCGCGATAAAAGCATAAAATAAAAGAAAAATCATTCAATATACAAGAGGTTCAACTCAGCCGTCTCTAAGCTTCCTTTGCGATTTATACAAGACAGGTTGAGTGAGGGCTTTTCTCCGAAATAGAAATCTTAATATAATTGGAGAACATGAAAACAATAAACCAGACTCTTGTTATTTATAACAGACAAGTTCAAGGACATCTCGCTTTCTCGTGTTTCGAATTATCGTAAAAAATATAAACGATAGGGATGTTATTGTAGCGGTATCATTGTTATCTATTAAAGCGGGAGAGTACACGTATAATTTATGAATAGTCAAAAAGGATTATATGTATTTCAAGATCATTAAGAGAGTCAATTAATATTCTTAATCACAATTTTGCAAAACATATTACAAAGTGGACACATACATGTCAATACAAGTTTGGAGACTGTCTTATTTGAATTACACCAAATATTGAAGCACTATTTTTATAAAAC